ACGGGCTGACGAGGACTGATTCTTTTCCTTACAGATAGATCTACTGCTGGTAACTTCCCTTTTCATACCACAAAACCCCAAAGAATAGACAATAAAAGTAGACAAATGGTATTTCTCCAAATAAAAATAACTCAGAGAATCTCCACCAGAATTTATGGAGTATCATTCAGCACAAAGAGCGATGAAGTGCTGATGATCACAAGATCTTGTTAAGTTAAAGAACTCAGCAAGTTAGGTGGTGGCTACAGGGGGAGGGGAGAGTTGGAGATGTAGTAATAGATCAACAAAGTTACAGCTAGACAGGCTTCTGTACATTCTCTTTGGAGAAGTGTTTTCAGGTCCCTGTTCACCCCCAATTTTGAAACAGGGTCTTGATGTGTAGAGCTAGCTGACCTGGAATTTGCTATGTGTATGAGCTTGGCCTTGAACTTGAGACTGTCTGTGCTTTTGTCTCTGTCTCCTGAGTGCTGGGATTACAGGTGTGGCCTTTCCCCCATTCTGAATCATGGGCTTTTGTTTGTCTAACACTTCATGTCTGCAGCCTGCTTCTCTGTTGGCTGTGTTCAGCTAACTTTCTCTACTCTTACATAGTCCAGGACCTCAAGGTGGGATTAGTGTCATTCACTGTGTCCTGGATCTTTGTGTATCAATCACAGTCGAGACAACTGCCCCCATCCCTAGAACCGTCCACAAGCCAATCTGACCTAGACAATTGATTGCTCATAATGCTTCTCTCTTTGGGTGATTCTGGGCCATAGCACATTTTTCTATGCTATGTGATAATTTGTCTGGGTATAGATTTTTAGATTGAGGTTTATTTTTCTATAGTGTTTCAAAGCATTGCTTTATTTTCTCCTTGCTCTCAGCAAGTTGTTCAGACGTTTGGTGGCATTTTTCTTTAGCTTTGTGTCCGTTGCCTATCTTTGTTATGTGTCTAGGGTTGTCTTTGTTTGGTGTTATTTTAGAAGGCTTTGAAGAGCTTCTATGTTAACACTGGTTACTAGCTGGCATAAATATATGTATGCATTTTTTATGTGATGATGTTCTACTTATGTTTGCAGTTTTGGTAAATATTCATAAATTATTTCTTAGATGATTTTCCTCCTATTCTTACCAGTATTGAGGATTGAACTTAGGGTCCTGTATTAGTCAGGGTTCTCTAGAGTCTCAAAGCTTTTGGAATGAAGATCTCTCTCTGTCTTTGTCTATATACATACATACATGCATACACACACACACACACACACACACACACACACACACACACACACACA